ATGGGCTGGAGGGCACATGCATGCTCAAATGCTTCCGGCTTCGAATGGTTAGTAGAGACTACGATTCGTACCCGTCATGTTGTCATTGTTCTGCTGACATCAACTTCATTGTGCAGCGTGACAAGCTCTTCCGCAAGTGCAGAAAGCCTCAGCCTTTACCTCTGGACACCTGTAGCCTGTGGCACACGGAAGTCGACGCAATCATTGCCAGCATGACCAACACTCTAAGTAAGCTGTGACCCGGCCAAAGTGCTACAGGTTTGCTTGACTCGCTTTTCTGACGGACTGATGTCCGTTAATTGCAGAGACTACGATATGTTGCTTTGTAAACTAGTCTTGTATAGTATAGCGCAGTAAAGTTTTGCATAGGTGTCGTAAAGACTGATTCGGCACTGCAAGCTCTTGCAGCCAGCTCGTAGAGCAAACTTCGACACAGTTGCAAGACTGCTGTGTTGTACTCCCAGATTTGTGTACGTGCATTGTGTCCTGCATATACTTGATACACACCATCGGCTTGTCTATCACTGTCTTAACATAAGCCCTAGCCCTGATGTTTTCAAGAATCCGATGACATTCATAATCAACCCTAAACCGAAACTCCCAAAAAAAAGAATTTTGTGCAGCCTCGCAATCGTAGGCCGACACCCTCGGTGCCATGCCAGGCTGCATTGGCGTGCGCAAGTCTGGGTCAGAATTGCGGAATTTAGTGAAGCGTCTTGGGGCTTGGAGCAAAAGATCTCGAAGAAAGTTCAGGTTTGGAGGACGACTCAGTTGAATGAATCTAGTTGGGGAGTTGGGGTGTTGGCCGGTGTGGGGCTTCAAAGCAGTTCTAGGGGCCCTGTGCGGAGGGTTGCCGACCATCACATCGACACGACTAACCCGTACGCTTCGCCAGAAGCTGCTACCCCTGTTTTTGCGGAGCCGCCAACGAAACTTCTCTTGTTTTCTCGAACGGGCCCAAGGAGTTCGGCTTCGTGTTAGTTCATCTAGGGCTTCAGGTGTTTGCTATGCATGTAGACTTACCAAGATCCCCAAATAGCAGAGTTGGTAGTGATGGAAGTGCTACGGCGGTGTTCCTACGACCACTACCAACGATGCCACTGCTGCTGCTGCTGCTCCTGCTGCTGCTGCTACGACGACAACCACCACCACAACGACGACTGCTACTGCTGCTGCTGCTGCTGCTACTACTACTACTACTACTACTGCTACCACGAGCTCTACTACTAACTACTAACTGACTACTAGGTCCAAACTACTGACTAACTACTAATTATTAACTTCCCATTACCT